TGAAAAAAAAAAAAAAAAAAAACGAAATTACTTTCCAAACAACCCAATAAAATTGAATAAATTGAGATTATAAATAAACACGTATAATGCTGACAAAGGTATACAGAATGAAATAAAATAAAATAAAGTAAATAAATGCATAAATGAAATATTGTTTTAGTCTTTTGGTATCACTGTTCACTGCATTGAGAAGGTACTTCCAAGCTGCTGATAAACAAGCAGCATCTTTATAGTTTATGGACAAATTCTTGACATTGTGCTTGTATATGTATATTTTTTCAAGAGTTTTAAAAACAATAGGGGATGAACAAGCAGGTAAAAGCTTGGCTTCATTAAAGTTTGGCATATTTTCTAGTACAGTGGCCACTATAGCTAGGGCAGTTGTGGTTTTGCCTTTACGTATGTCATATTGATGCTCTTTAAGTCTTATAGGAAGGTTTCTGGAAGTGTATCCTATGTATTTGCTTGTTTTGTTTTCCAGACATAGATTGACCAGTATCTCGTATCTCCAGGGGCTGTGTCAGGACCTATTGGGTCTTTATCATTACATAAGCAGCTGTAAATAATTTTGTTCTGCTTATATGTGATTCCTCTGTTGCTCAATCTGACAGTTTTTCTATAGGCATTATCTAATAATTTATTATATGTTACAGGCACAATTATGGATAGAGAGTGTTTAGGTTTTCTGCAAGATCTGGGGTTGTTGTATGTGTTAATTAAATAATCAACCATGATATGGCTGTACCCGTGAGCAGCTGCAATGCTTTTGATTCTGTTCAACTCTTTAATGGTGTCCCTTGTCTGTAGTGTGGCTATTTGCTCTTTTGATATGGGCCTTAAATGCTTCCATTTTATATTTGGGCTGATTATTTGAACAGCTACATATGTATAATGGGTGGTAAGTAGGTTTAAGATAAACACTCGTATGGATTTCACCATTCATTAGGATGATGTTTAAATTGAGGAAATGTGCCCTCACATTACTGAATTGGTCTAAGGGTACTGTCAACCCATATAGATTGTTGATGATGGTGTTGACAATATTAATTAACACATACACATACAATATTTAAATGTTAAAGAATTTATTCAAAATGTGTTTGATCCTGAAGATGGCTACAAAGACAGCCGAAAGCATTTGATGAATTAAAATAATTGCTGGAATAGGTTCTTTGTTTTTAAATGTTTTAAGTATCGAAAATACTGAGATTAGTCATGTGAGAGTTAAACATCTGTGAGTTTGGATTCTACTCAAAGCAAAATGCATTTCTTTCCATATTTTCTTTTATATGCACATAGTGTATGTGCTGTGGTTTATATGGTTTTACTATTAGTTAAAACTTACTAAGTATCTGAAATTATCTAGATTGTCAAAAAAGGAACCTACATGTGTGAAAAACTATATCATTAATAAAAATACTCATAATTTAAATCAATAAAAATTGTTATATGATGTAAAAATATGTTCAAAAGTTTTTAGTTATTAATGTAACTATCAAATAGAAAATATTCATATTTTCGTATTTACGTTATATTATCGTATTACCAATGAGAATAATTGAAGATATATAATAATACATATTTTTCTTCAATTATCAATTCAGTTCAAGACTTTTTTATGTACTTATGTTTTTTTGTTGGAATTCATGCTTCATGCATAATGTTGAAATTCAATGAAACTTGGAACTGTGTTTAAATAGAAGGAAGCACAAACTCCTTATTTAAGGTAATAAAAATTGGATTTTATTGGAAATGTTTATTACCTTTGATTAGGTCAGTTATGCATGACTATAATGAAGAACACTCCTAAGACCACAGGAGTGCTCTTCATTTAAGAATTTTGAATTCATTTATTATATAAAAACAACAATAATACATTATTTAAACACATACATTACGTTTTTAATATGTTTTTTATTTTTGTAAATTACTGATTGTATTTTCAGCTGAATTTTATCTTAAGTTTTGTTTTGATTTCAGTTACAAAAAATACTACACTCCAATTTTCATTTAGTTGTTTTATAACATACTGATTTATTTAAAGGAATGTTTCCAAATATATCTTTCCTGTGAACCAAGCACAACTCTGAAGGCACTTGGTTTACAGGAAAGATATATTTGGAAGTATCTCTCCAAATAAAGCAGTGTGTGCTTTATGATAACTATTTGATTTGTAGATTTAAAACTTTTTAAGAGATGCAATTGATAATGTATAGTATTTTCCAAATGATGCTTTAGGAGATTGCACAGAGAAGCTTGTAGGCAAAGCATCAGGGACACAGTTATAAGTAAAGTTAATATGTAGTAGGATCCAAAAGTTTGGAACTTAGCATGTAATTCCTTCTCTTGAATAGTTTAAAACACTAACACAACCAATTTCAAAAGAATCCCTTTGTGCAACAATACACTTTTTCCATGCTTGTACAGTTTCTGGAAGTATTGCTGTAAGCCATCTTTTGCAACCACCCATATCATGTGATGACTCAAAATGATCTCAGGCCATTTATAATGGATGGACTCATGCAAACACTACATATCTGCATTTGCACAAACCCATCTGTTATAAACAGCTTGAGATTGTTTTGACGTCATTTTGAGTCATCACATGAGGTAAAAGCAACATTACAAGTGGTTGCAAAAGATGGCTTGCAGCAATCAGAAGCTGTATGACAATGGATAAAGTGTATCATCTTTACCCAAGGGAATTCTTTTGAATTGTGGTTGTGTGTTGGTGTTTTAAACTATTCAAGGCAAGGAACTATATGCCAAATTCCAAACTTTTGGATTCTACCAAGTATAAGTCCTGCCACATTATGCCAGGTTTGTAATAACATATAGGTCAGAACTGACAATTAGTATTTCATTTGCTGGTCATTAAAAGAAAGAAGATACAGTATACTCCTGAAGGGCAAGATAATTACAAAATTTTCTTTCAGTATTTCATTCAGTATTGTAAAATGTTAATAATTCATTGGTATTATTAGGCTTATTTTTGGTTAATTGTATGAAAAATTCAGTAATTAATACTCATCTGTTGCAAAAGTAAGAATTTTATTTCTCATTTGGAACATTCTCTTATGTACATATTTTAGAACAGACAAACAGTGAAACAATTCATGATAAAATGAGGAAACTGCAGCTTTCGTCATCTTTGGGCTACTTCTTGGCAAACTAGTCAAATTTTTCTTGCAGTTCATTCACAGTTTGCTGACTCCCAGTAAACAGTTATTTTCAACTGTTCAATGCGTATGGGAACATGAGAAGAAATCAAGAGGTGTGAGATTGGGGATCAAGCAGGCCATTTATATGGGTCTCAATGTTCAATCCAGTACCTAGGAAACAACACATCTAAGGCATTTCTGGAGTCTATTTAGAAGTGAGGAGAGGCTCTGTCCTGTTTATAGACCCCACTGCCCACTGTTTATAGACATGGGAACAAGTGGCTTGTTCCTGCAGCACTATATCCTCAAGTACTGATTTGATTATCACAATAAGGATATCTAAATACATGGGCCCAGTTCATACATTTATTTTTGTGGCATTTGAGTTGGGCATAGAGTGGGTACCCAATAATGGCATTTATATCTGTGGACTCGACTATTCAAATAGAAAGTTGATTCGTCAGAGAAGAATGAGCAATAAAGTAATCAGGATTGTCCTATAACAGATTTATGAAATGTTTGCAAAATTCAAGTTTGAAGTCAAAATCATTGCACCTAAATCAAGAATTAGGTCAGATGATTTTAACTAAGTAAGATTGAATTTGTAAGACTGAACTTGTGCCTGTTTAATATTCTATAGACAGATGGTTGAGAAATTCCAACAGCAGTTCCCATTTCACAGAGCAACTGTTGAGGTTTGTTTAGTGCTGAAACAAGTATATTCAACTTCTGATACATTACCAGTAACTTCAAGGATGACCCAATTTCTTTGTGTCTTGTACCATTTTCATTTTAACAAATTTTTGATAGAGCCACAGAATGACAGTGGTGTGGCTTTGGCTTATTGGGATGGCAGTTGTGAAAAATATTTACCATCTGTATAGCATTGTTGCCTTGCCTGTAAATTAGAACAATCTCTGTTCTTTCCTAAATCGTTTGAAACATTCTGACTGAATAATTACACCCTAGAATTCTTGTAAAAGTTGTAAACTTGTTTATTATGACAACTAGGAAGCAGTAGCCGTTATTAACCATGTTGCATGGATTTGCTTATTTACATAAACTGTTAGTTCACATGAAGAGTAGTAATGCATGAGGTTTGCAGTTACAATAGTTAGTGGAAATGTACAGATTTTGCTACAGACTAACCACTAGTTATTTTACTGTTTAGCCTGTAGCAAACCTGAACATGTTTCCATTGATATTTCAGCCACAATTACTGTGAACACATGCCTTACTACTATACTTGTTGTGAACTGTCAGTTTATGCAAATAAGCAAGTCCATGCAATTGTGGTTAGTAATTTTTAGCATTAAAATAAACAAGAACACAAAACATTACCAGTTTTTTTTTATTGTATCATCTGCATATTGAGTATTAAAAAGTTCAATCTTCAGAACACATGTTAGTTACATAATTATGCATCCGGTCTTGCATTGGTTGAAAATGATTTGACCACATATATGAATTTCGTGCAATTAGATATGTAATTTTTGTTTGGCAGTATTGCTAACCCAAAATGATGCATCTTATAACCAGTAAACTATATACTTGTACCAATACTTTGTCTACAAAGCTTCTCTGATCAAATCTCCTGTGGTACATTTCTTTTGGGAAACAACACACATTTATTCTTTCAGGTGAAGAAGAAACTCTGGATGCTTTTGCGAAACACTTTGCTGAAGAACTTTCCATTTATGGAAACCAGGTGATCATAAACCTGGTGGAACAGACAGGCAAAGAAAAAGTTCTATCAGAGGCTTACTTAAATGGAATACTCTCGTACGACTGTCCTGACTTGACTTATATATCTTTTGACTTTCACGAATACTGGTAAGTCTGAATATTAATTTAATATGTAACATGTTTTTTATGTCATAGAAGATGTTTATGAAGGATTATTATTATTACATAATATTTCATGATAATTAGGATAAAGAGTGCAGAATAGTGATGTAAATTAAACTTAGAATTTTATTCAGAATTTTTGTTTTTTAACATCACAATCAATGTTGGAATGTTATTGAGAATTTTTCAATTTCTTTTATAAAGTCCTTTCAACAATAATAGAACATACAGTGATTGCCTAGAAACTCTTTATTATTTTCATATAACTTTGATGAAATTTTCTAGTATGTTTGATAGCAAAATATCAACAATTATTGCACAAGTTTGGAGAAAAATGATTAACAAACAAAATAGACATTCTATTTTTGCTAATAGTATTTAGCTAACATTAATAGAACATCTTGACTTATAACATTTTAAATTAGTAGCTAATTTTGCTACTGATTTTTGGAAACAAGCTGAAAAATACGATTAGACATTCAATTAATCAAAGATTGCAGTCGTTCTTGTGGAATATTTTCCCATGCATCAGTGAGAGCAGTCTTTAGTTCACTGACGAGCTTGTATTGCTTTTCACTGCTGCACATTTGGAAAACAAACTCACCCCAAACATTTTCAATTGGGTTTAAATCTGCACTGAGGAGTGGCCAGTTCAAAAGTTCGGGCATTTCTGCTCTGAAAAATGAGGATACCATTGATTTTGATACACGGAAGCTTGCATTATCCTGCACAAATTCAAAGTCCTGTCCAGCAATTTTCTGTCTATATGTTTGGAGCTACCTCTAGACAAGCTCCTGATAAATTTCAGAGTTGTTTTGACCTTCAATAAATACTAGATCTGTCTTTCCATTCCATCCAATCCCTGCCCAAGTCATGAGTGTACCACCACCAGCTATTCTCTGAGTACTGCTTTTGATCTAGTCTTTTGTCTGCCTAATAATACTTAAAACTATCAGTTCCTTTGAGATTCCTCTTTTTCTCATCCAGTAAAATTACTTTTTGCCATCCTTCCCCTCTTTTGAAAGTTGTTTACGGCAAACTCTAATCAAAGTTGTTTGTGTGTTTTTCTTGAGCTGGTTGGCTGTCTTCATTTTGATGAAAGAAATATTGTCTGTTGATCTCAAAACATTGTGTACTGTTGATTTACAGCAGCTCAACTTTAATTCATTTTTGATTTTTTGAATGGATGTGTTTCCTTGCAGTGCATGTCAAACAATTGCATGTCATTCTCTAGGTGTTGTTGAACTCTTGCGCTCGCTGTTTTGTTTTTCTGTTCATTGCTCCTTATTATTGAGATACTTTGAGATTGTTGAATAAGGTTTTTCCAAATTTTTAGTAATCCAAGTTACTTTTCTTCATTCTTGATGAAATGCATCGATTTTGGTCTTCTCCTCTGTAGTTAGGTCATTCCCACATTCCATTTTTAATAGCAAGGTACTATGCAATTTACTAAACCTTTCTTTTTACTTGTTGATCGTATTTTTATGCAAATTTCTTGATTCCAATCATTACTTTCTTTGTAATTAATTCCAATCAGTACATGTTCTATTAATGTTGGACACCCTATTTTTGATGATCATATCTAACTCTCTATGGACATTAATTATATTTTTGTACTTTTCTTTTTATTTTGTTGGGAAAAAGTACTTTTTAAATTGTTATTACCATTTTAAATTGATTATGTTTTTTATTCTGTTTTGTTACAGTAGAGGAATGAAGTTTGAAAATATCACCATTCTAACTGAAAGTATTAAGGATATTATCAGAGAGATGAGATATTGTTGGTATGTCTGTGTCAAATATTAAATTTGAAAATTAAATTAATTATAGGTTTTGTTTGATATTTGCAGTATATATTGATAATTAGTCTGTAATATTCAATTAAAAATAAGTTAATTACAATACTTGGTATGAAAATAAGCATAATTTAAAGTAATTATTCTAAAATTTGTGTCTAAAAATATACTGTATTACTAAAACATTTTTTATTCAATATGTAATATATTACTCTTGATATCATATTAGTCTACAACTTTTAAAATGGTCAATATATTGATAGGTTCGATAGCCAAGGGCTCATCTGTGAACAGAAAGGAGTTTTCAGAGTGAATTGCGTGGACTGTTTGGATCGTACCAATATCGCCCAGACAGCTCTGGCAAAAACCATCATGGACACTCAAGTATAATGTTAATTACTTGGATAAATTTAAATGCATTAGATTTAAGTGGATTTCACTGGTTATCATTTATTGCAGTTTATTAAACTCGGCCTGTTGCCACCGGAAGGAATCCTGCCTGCAAGCTGTAGAAGGGTGTTCCAGATGATGTGGGCCAACAATGGAGACATAATCAGTCGGCAGTATGCCGGAACTGCCGCTTTAAAGGTAAGTTTAATTAAATTTTTTGTACATTAACAATAATCAGTCAATTACTTTTAATTAGTTAATCAAAGAAATCTTCCATGTACAACAAATAATTTTTATGTTCTTTTTATTTAACTCATTTCAAATTTGAAGTAACAATATTGTTGATGATTTTATATCCAAGAAAATAATTATTTTAAAAATAACAAAACAAATGCTTTTAATATGCAGAATGAATGAATGAATGATTTGTGATAAAATTTCATGGATTTGAAATTTTGTTACTTCAAGTTATAGTTAATATTTCTGATAATTAATTTCCAATTAATGCCATATTTTTGTGTATATTTTTTACACTTTGATTTTTCATCGGTAAAAAAAATACAAAATTTTTCAAAGTTAGGCCTATACTGTTATTTCTTAAAAGAGTATCTTGATTAAAAAAGTTGTGATTTCATAATACATGTATGTTAATTTTTTTTATATATTAAATGTTCTGAAAAATTTGAAATTTTTCTCAGTAGACATCATCTATGTAGTCCATGTTTGCTAGGTACTGTACATACTTTAAAAATAAAAAGAAAATTGAATTAACACTTGACTATTAGTGACATTGATGACAAATTTCATTTTGTAATTTGTTTTTAATGAATATTAATCGATAAAGAAATCAAGTATAATTTCAACAACTGATTATTTTGATTATATTTTATAGTCTGTTGAATCATGCAAATTGGTTGGGCAATTAAAATTTGAATGCAAATTGGGAAAATCTTAAGCGGTAATGGATGTCAGGGCATATTTTTTAAATCATTAGCATTATTTGCTCTTCAAATTCTAATTAGTCATTGCAAATTCATTTCTGACTTTTAATGTTGATTTTATTGATTTATTTATTATGGTTATTCATTCAGTAGTTAACTTTAGCTTTTAACTTGAAATATGAATATTTATCTTGAATAGATTAATATGATTATTAAGTTTTCTTGATGGCAGATAATATAAAGATCAATTGTTCTCTCTATTGCTTATACTATTTCCAAAACAGGATCTGACAAAGAACACTTTGCATATATTAATTCATTGTTTTAACATAAAATGTATATAAATTGGTAATTATTTAGAACTTTCTATGAGAATCTGAAGACATTTAGTAGTATATATGTTTATGAAGAAGTGCAATGATTAATGTGTCTAAACAAATAATTTTTAAATTTCATTGCATATATTAACTATAATTTAATATTTATATTATGACATCATTGTATAATTGACACAGTTTTGATATCTACATTTCAATCAGAAATACAGAATTATACCCATGGAACAAAACTGAAAAAGAAACTTGCATAATGGAAATTGGTTAGCATTAATTTTGCCAAAATTATCTAAAAAAATCAAACATTTTATTAAAATAAATGTATTTTTAGCAAATATTATTATAACAGCCTCTAACAAAAAGTTTATAATTTTATAAAATATATCCTTTTCACACTTAAAGAATTTACACAATTGTGCAAAAAATTAACAAAGTATATTAATTGATAACTTGAATATCTGTGCTTATTTATTAAATATGTAGTAAATTATTTACTGATTTTATTCTTTCAAAATCAGGGAGATTTTACGAGGACGGGTGAAAGAAGATTTGCTGGAATGATGAAAGATGGATACACTTCCGCCAGTAGGTTAGTTCATGTTATAGTAAAATTGTAATTTGCTTTAATATATATATTAAAATGTAGAATATATGTAAAATTTTCATTTTTGTGTATGTGTTTGTGTATAAATATATATACATAAATGAAAATTTTACAAATTTCCCTTAGGTCCACTTATGACTCATTACATTTTTATGTATAACATAATATAGCTATATTATGTACTTAATTAATTATCATTACCTCTAACTTGTAATTTTCAAACCATGTCAATTTTTATGTAGAAAATTCAATTACAGAATTTTGCATACATTTTAGGACATAACACTGCCATGCAGCTTTTTATCCCTCTTAGCTTTGATTTCAATGAAATTTGTTTACAATTTACTTGTTACAGTTTCCATGTTATTAGAATATTGATGTTTAGAAGCAAAATATATAATGCAGTGTGCCACCAAGAATTTGATAACTATTCTTACTGTCTTTTTTGAAATATATAACAAGAGGATTTAAGTATTTCAAGATAGGACATTTATGTACAGTACTTATGCAACATAAGAGTGAAGGATACTCAGAATCTTTTACATATGGCTATTGTCATTGAGAAGTTTTTAGAACCTTAGATATCTACAATTGTTTGAGAATAATAATATAATGTATAGAAAATATGACAGGCAAACAAATTTATTCTCTTTTAAAGTATAGAAGTTGAAAGAAGAATGGAAACAAATTTTTGTATTATAAAACTGGATCAGTTTTCTTCTGTTAAATTTATGTTAATATATTTTACATGATATTAGAAAATTAAGTTTTTTTGAAAAGGAGAAAATATTTAATTAAACTAAATTCTTTGTAAAGATGTAATGCTTGTTTAAGTAATTACCTTCAATATCTCACAAGCTATGATATCCATGTACTATTTTGACTCTAGACATTCCAAACTAATATTGAATAAATCTTATAAATCTGGATCTTAAAGAATTACCTGCCTGTTGCAATATTTGTATTACATTATCTTTAACTTAGATGTCAATACTGTAAGTCTACATTGGAAAACAAATATTCTCCTAATTGTGATCTACACCTCTACAGGAATCTAAACAACTGTTGACTTATTTAACATACCCAGCAAACTAAACTTTTTATGGGTTAGATAGATTATGATAAAAGGTTATAAGACAATTTTGAAATTAAAATGAATATTATTATTATTATAATGAAACCCTGTGCTGAATAAACTAACAGAAAAATTTCTATTAGATTTCTGATGGAATGGTCCAAATATACTTTTCTTGGTGTTTAAAACATGATACAACTAGTTTAGATTGTGCTCTTTTGGTTGATACTTTGCAGCATAATTCTTTTATGTATCATTTAACACTATATATGGCATATCATGCCCATATTTATTATTTTGTTAAAATATGAAAAGTGTCACACTAAATCTTATGTAGTTTTGTTTTAGTCTCAGAGAGGATAGAAAAGTTAACCTTAGTAAGCAAATATTTTAATTTTTTGTTAGTTACATCATGTAGATTTTTAAAAAATCTTGAAGACCTAAAGATCTCTCCTAATAAACCACAGTTTTGCATAGTAATTGCAGTCATGTGAAATGTACAACTGCATTCTTACCCCTAAACAGCTGTAATGTAGCCGTTTGGGTGTAAGCATTACAACTGCTTTAGTTTGAATAACTGGAAAATCACATTCTCTTGTCACAAACTTTTTCATTGGATAGTCACATAATAAAAAAAGATTAACTATTGGAAACTCATTCTACATACAAGTTCTTTGTTTCAACAAATCTGTATCTATCAATTGAAAAATCAATTTTCAATTGTAATTTGCTATACTGTCAACTTATTCACTGTAGAAAAAGCATTAATGTAGGTAGCCAATACACAATGGATGTATCGGCTTACACGGTACTGTCAAATCAACTAAACTAAATTTGCTCTATTGTCTACTGAACTCAGCCAAGATCTTGGAAAACTACTGATGCAAAAATTGCTATTCTGTTACTTTAAGAAATTTCTCTATCAGTTTTGAATCTAAAATTTATTATTTAAGTAATTATATTTGTTCTATTGTGCATATAATCTAAACTACTTGAAAAGAAGTTTTTTATTTTCAACTATTATGAATTACGTAGATTGCTCTTAACATTCTCTTCTCTAGAATTTTGTAAGCATTTTATTTTTAATTACTAGATTTGTTTAATAAGTTTAAAAATTAAATTTGTGAAGTAGAAAGTTTCCAAGANCAAAATATATAATAATAATATGGTTTAAAATGAAAATGGAGGGAAAAATATGACTAATCCGTCTAGTGGTAAAAAAAAAAAAAAAAAAACGAAATTACTTTCCAAACAACCCAATAAAATTGAATAAATTGAGATTATAAATAAACACGTATAATGCTGACAAAGGTATACAGAATGAAATAAAATAAAATAAAGTAAATAAATGCATAAATGAAATATTGTTTTAGTCTTTTGGTATCACTGTTCACTGCATTGAGAAGGTACTTCCAAGCTGCTGATAAACAAGCAGCATCTTTATAGTTTATGGACAAATTCTTGACATTGTGCTTGTATATGTATATTTTTTCAAGAGTTTTAAAAACAATAGGGGATGAACAAGCAGGTAAAAGCTTGGCTTCATTAAAGTTTGGCATATTTTCTAGTACAGTGGCCACTATAGCTAGGGCAGTTGTGGTTTTGCCTTTACGTATGTCATATTGATGCTCTTTAAGTCTTATAGGAAGGTTTCTGGAAGTGTATCCTATGTATTTGCTTGTTTTGTTTTCCAGACATAGATTGACCAGTATCTCGTATCTCCAGGGGCTGTGTCAGGACCTATTGGGTCTTTATCATTACATAAGCAGCTGTAAATAATTTTGTTCTGCTTATATGTGATTCCTCTGTTGCTCAATCTGACAGTTTTTCTATAGGCATTATCTAATAATTTATTATATGTTACAGGCACAATTATGGATAGAGAGTGTTTAGGTTTTCTGCAAGATCTGGGGTTGTTGTATGTGTTAATTAAATAATCAACCATGATATGGCTGTACCCGTGAGCAGCTGCAATGCTTTTGATTCTGTTCAACTCTTTAATGGTGTCCCTTGTCTGTAGTGTGGCTATTTGCTCTTTTGATATGGGCCTTAAATGCTTCCATTTTATATTTGGGCTGATTATTTGAACAGCTACATATGTATAATGGGTGGTAAGTAGGTTTAAGATAAACACTCGTATGGATTTCACCATTCATTAGGATGATGTTTAAATTGAGGAAATGTGCCCTCACATTACTGAATTGGTCTAAGGGTACTGTCAACCCATATAGATTGTTGATGATGGTGTTGACAATATTAATTAACACATACACATACAATATTTAAATGTTAAAGAATTTATTCAAAATGTGTTTGATCCTGAAGATGGCTACAAAGACAGCCGAAAGCATTTGATGAATTAAAATAATTGCTGGAATAGGTTCTTTGTTTTTAAATGTTTTAAGTATCGAAAATACTGAGATTAGTCATGTGAGAGTTAAACATCTGTGAGTTTGGATTCTACTCAAAGCAAAATGCATTTCTTTCCATATTTTCTTTTATATGCACATAGTGTATGTGCTGTGGTTTATATGGTTTTACTATTAGTTAAAACTTACTAAGTATCTGAAATTATCTAGATTGTCAAAAAAGGAACCTACATGTGTGAAAAACTATATCATTAATAAAAATACTCATAATTTAAATCAATAAAAATTGTTATATGATGTAAAAATATGTTCAAAAGTTTTTAGTTATTAATGTAACTATCAAATAGAAAATATTCATATTTTCGTATTTACGTTATATTATCGTATTACCAATGAGAATAATTGAAGATATATAATAATACATATTTTTCTTCAATTATCAATTCAGTTCAAGACTTTTTTATGTACTTATGTTTTTTTGTTGGAATTCATGCTTCATGCATAATGTTGAAATTCAATGAAACTTGGAACTGTGTTTAAATAGAAGGAAGCACAAACTCCTTATTTAAGGTAATAAAAATTGGATTTTATTGGAAATGTTTATTACCTTTGATTAGGTCAGTTATGCATGACTATAATGAAGAACACTCCTAAGACCACAGGAGTGCTCTTCATTTAAGAATTTTGAATTCATTTATTATATAAAAACAACAATAATACATTATTTAAACACATACATTACGTTTTTAATATGTTTTTTATTTTTGTAAATTACTGATTGTATTTTCAGCTGAATTTTATCTTAAGTTTTGTTTTGATTTCAGTTACAAAAAATACTACACTCCAATTTTCATTTAGTTGTTTTATAACATACTGATTTATTTAAAGGAATGTTTCCAAATATATCTTTCCTGTGAACCAAGCACAACTCTGAAGGCACTTGGTTTACAGGAAAGATATATTTGGAAGTATCTCTCCAAATAAAGCAGTGTGTGCTTTATGATAACTATTTGATTTGTAGATTTAAAACTTTTTAAGAGATGCAATTGATAATGTATAGTATTTTCCAAATGATGCTTTAGGAGATTGCACAGAGAAGCTTGTAGGCAAAGCATCAGGGACACAGTTATAAGTAAAGTTAATATGTAGTAGGATCCAAAAGTTTGGAACTTAGCATGTAATTCCTTCTCTTGAATAGTTTAAAACACTAACACAACCAATTTCAAAAGAATCCCTTTGTGCAACAATACACTTTTTCCATGCTTGTACAGTTTCTGGAAGTATTGCTGTAAGCCATCTTTTGCAACCACCCATATCATGTGATGACTCAAAATGATCTCAGGCCATTTATAATGGATGGACTCATGCAAACACTACATATCTGCATTTGCACAAACCCATCTGTTATAAACAGCTTGAGATTGTTTTGACGTCATTTTGAGTCATCACATGAGGTAAAAGCAACATTACAAGTGGTTGCAAAAGATGGCTTGCAGCAATCAGAAGCTGTATGACAATGGATAAAGTGTATCATCTTTACCCAAGGGAATTCTTTTGAATTGTGGTTGTGTGTTGGTGTTTTAAACTATTCAAGGCAAGGAACTATATGCCAAATTCCAAACTTTTGGATTCTACCAAGTATAAGTCCTGCCACATTATGCCAGGTTTGTAATAACATATAGGTCAGAACTGACAATTAGTATTTCATTTGCTGGTCATTAAAAGAAAGAAGATACAGTATACTCCTGAAGGGCAAGATAATTACAAAATTTTCTTTCAGTATTTCATTCAGTATTGTAAAATGTTAATAATTCATTGGTATTATTAGGCTTATTTTTGGTTAATTGTATGAAAAATTCAGTAATTAATACTCATCTGTTGCAAAAGTAAGAATTTTATTTCTCATTTGGAACATTCTCTTATGTACATATTTTAGAACAGACAAACAGTGAAACAATTCATGATAAAATGAGGAAACTGCAGCTTTCGTCATCTTTGGGCTACTTCTTGGCAAACTAGTCAAATTTTTCTTGCAGTTCATTCACAGTTTGCTGACTCCCAGTAAACAGTTATTTTCAACTGTTCAATGCGTATGGGAACATGAGAAGAAATCAAGAGGTGTGAGATTGGGGATCAAGCAGGCCATTTATATGGGTCTCAATGTTCAATCCAGTACCTAGGAAACAACACATCTAAGGCATTTCTGGAGTCTATTTAGAAGTGAGGAGAGGCTCTGTCCTGTTTATAGACCCCACTGCCCACTGTTTATAGACATGGGAACAAGTGGCTTGTTCCTGCAGCACTATATCCTCAAGTACTGATTTGATTATCACAATAAGGATATCTAAATACATGGGCCCAGTTCATACATTTATTTTTGTGGCATTTGAGTTGGGCATAGAGTGGGTACCCAATAATGGCATTTATATCTGTGGACTCGACTATTCAAATAGAAAGTTGATTCGTCAGAGAAGAATGAGCAATAAAGTAATCAGGATTGTCCTATAACAGATTTATGAAATGTTTGCAAAATTCAAGTTTGAAGTCAAAATCATTGCACCTAAATCAAGAATTAGGTCAGATGATTTTAACTAAGTAAGATTGAATTTGTAAGACTGAACTTGTGCCTGTTTAATATTCTATAGACAGATGGTTGAGAAATTCCAACAGCAGTTCCCATTTCACAGAGCAACTGTTGAGGTTTGTTTAGTGCTGAAACAAGTATATTCAACTTCTGATACATTACCAGTAACTTCAAGGATGACCCAATTTCTTTGTGTCTTGTACCATTTTCATTTTAACAAATTTTTGATAGAGCCACAGAATGACAGTGGTGTGGCTTTGGCTTATTGGGATGGCAGTTGTGAAAAATATTTACCATCTGTATAGCATTGTTGCCTTGCCTGTAAATTAGAACAATCTCTGTTCTTTCCTAAATCGTTTGAAACATTCTGACTGAATAATTACACCCTAGAATTCTTGTAAAAGTTGTAAACTTGTTTATTATGACAACTAGGAAGCAGTAGCCGTTATTAACCATGTTGCATGGATTTGCTTATTTACATAAACTGTTAGTTCACATGAAGAGTAGTAATGCATGAGGTTTGCAGTTACAATAGTTAGTGGAAATGTACAGATTTTGCTACAGACTAACCACTAGTTATTTTACTGTTTAGCCTGTAGCAAACCTGAACATGTTTCCATTGATATTTCAGCCACAATTACTGTGAACACATGCCTTACTACTATACTTGTTGTGAACTGTCAGTTTATGCAAATAAGCAAGTCCATGCAATTGTGGTTAGTAATTTTTAGCATTAAAATAAACAAGAACACAAAACATTACCAGTTTTTTTTTATTGTATCATCTGCATATTGAGTATTAAAAAGTTCAATCTTCAGAACACATGTTAGTTACATAATTATGCATCCGGTCTTGCATTGGTTGAAAATGATTTGACCACATATATGAATTTCGTGCAATTAGATATGTAATTTTTGTTTGGCAGTATTGCTAACCCAAAATGATGCATCTTATAACCAGTAAACTATATACTTGTACCAATACTTTGTCTACAAAGCTTCTCTGATCAAATCTCCTGTGGTACATTTCTTTTGGGAAACAACACACATTTATTCTTTCAGGTGAAGAAGAAACTCTGGATGCTTTTGCGAAACACTTTGCTGAAGAACTTTCCATTTATGGAAACCAGGTGATCATAAACCTGGTGGAACAGACAGGCAAAGAAAAAGTTCTATCAGAGGCTTACTTAAATGGAATACTCTCGTACGACTGTCCTGACTTGACTTATATATCTTTTGACTTTCACGAATACTGGTAAGTCTGAATATTAATTTAATATGTAACATGTTTTTTATGTCATAGAAGATGTTTATGAAGGATTATTATTATTACATAATATTTCATGATAATTAGGATAAAGAGTGCAGAATAGTGATGTAAATTAAACTTAGAATTTTATTCAGAATTTTTGTTTTTTAACATCACAATCAATGTTGGAATGTTATTGAGAATTTTTCAATTTCTTTTATAAAGTCCTTTCAACAATAATAGAACATACAGTGATTGCCTAGAAACTCTTTATTATTTTCATATAACTTTGATGAAATTTTCTAGTATGTTTGATAGCAAAATATCAACAATTATTGCACAAGTTTGGAGAAAAATGATTAACAAACAAAATAGACATTCTATTTTTGCTAATAGTATTTAGCTAACATTAATAGAACATCTTGACTTATAACATTTTAAATTAGTAGCTAATTTTGCTACTGATTTTTGGAAACAAGCTGAAAAATACGATTAGACATTCAATTAATCAAAGATTGCAGTCGTTCTTGTGGAATATTTTCCCATGCATCAGTGAGAGCAGTCTTTAGTTCACTGACGAGCTTGTATTGCTTTTCACTGCTGCACATTTGGAAAACAAACTCACCCCAAACATTTTCAATTGGGTTTAAATCTGCACTGAGGAGTGGCCAGTTCAAAAGTTCGGGCATTTCTGCTCTGAAAAATGAGGATACCATTGATTTTGATACACGGAAGCTTGCATTATCCTGCACAAATTCAAAGTCCTGTCCAGCAATTTTCTGTCTATATGTTTGGAGCTACCTCTAGACAAGCTCCTGATAAATTTCAGAGTTGTTTTGACCTTCAATAAATACTAGATCTGTCTTTCCATTCCATCCAATCCCTGCCCAAGTCATGAGTGTACCACCACCAGCTATTCTCTGAGTACTGCTTTTGATCTAGTCTTTTGTCTGCCTAATAATACTTAAAACTATCAGTTCCTTTGAGATTCCTCTTTTTCTCATCCAGTAAAATTACTTTTTGCCATCCTTCCCCTCTTTTGAAAGTTGTTTACGGCAAACTCTAATCAAAGTTGTTTGTGTGTTTTTCTTGAGCTGGTTGGCTGTCTTCATTTTGATGAAAGAAATATTGTCTGTTGATCTCAAAACATTGTGTACTGTTGATTTACAGCAGCTCAACTTTAATTCATTTTTGATTTTTTGAATGGATGTGTTTCCTTGCAGTGCATGTCAAACAATTGCATGTCATTCTCTAGGTGTTGTTGAACTCTTGCGCTCGCTGTTTTGTTTTTCTGTTCATTGCTCCTTATTATTGAGATACTTTGAGATTGTTGAATAAGGTTTTTCCAAATTTTTAGTAATCCAAGTTACTTTTCTTCATTCTTGATGAAATGCATCGATTTTGGTCTTCTCCTCTGTAGTTAGGTCATTCCCACATTCCATTTTTAATAGCAAGGTACTATGCAATTTACTAAACCTTTCTTTTTACTTGTTGATCGTATTTTTATGCAAATTTCTTGATTCCAATCATTACTTTCTTTGTAATTAATTCCAATCAGTACATGTTCTATTAATGTTGGACACCCTATTTTTGATGATCATATCTAACTCTCTATGGACATTAATTATATTTTTGTACTTTTCTTTTTATTTTGTTGGGAAAAAGTACTTTTTAAATTGTTATTACCATTTTAAATTGATTATGTTTTTTATTCTGTTTTGTTACAGTAGAGGAATGAAGTTTGAAAATATCACCATTCTAACTGAAAGTATTAAGGATATTATCAGAGAGATGAGATATTGTTGGTATGTCTGTGTCAAATATTAAATTTGAAAATTAAATTAATTATAGGTTTTGTTTGATATTTGCAGTATATATTGATAATTAGTCTGTAATATTCAATTAAAAATAAGTTAATTACAATACTTGGTATGAAAATAAGCATAATTTAAAGTAATTATTCTAAAATTTGTGTCTAAAAATATACTGTATTACTAAAACATTTTTTATTCAATATGTAATATATTACTCTTGATATCATATTAGTCTACAACTTTTAAAATGGTCAATATATTGATAGGTTCGATAGCCAAGGGCTCATCTGTGAACAGAAAGGAGTTTTCAGAGTGAATTGCGTGGACTGTTTGGATCGTACCAATATCGCCCAGACAGCTCTGGCAAAAACCATCATGGACACTCAAGTATAATGTTAATTACTTGGATAAATTTAAATGCATTAGATTTAAGTGGATTTCACTGGTTATCATTTATTGCAGTTTATTAAACTCGGCCTGTTGCCACCGGAAGGAATCCTGCCTGCAAGCTGTAGAAGGGTGTTCCAGATGATGTGGGCCAACAATGGAGACATAATCAGTCGGCAGTATGCCGGAACTGCCGCTTTAAAGGTAAGTTTAATTAAATTTTTTGTACATTAACAATAATCAGTCAATTACTTTTAATTAGTTAATCAAAGAAATCTTCCATGTACAACAAATAATTTTTATGTTCTTTTTATTTAACTCATTTCAAATTTGAAGTAACAATATTGTTGATGATTTTATATCCAAGAAAATAATTATTTTAAAAATAACAAAACAAATGCTTTTAATATGCAGAATGAATGAATGAATGATTTGTGATAAAATTTCATGGATTTGAAATTTTGTTACTTCAAGTTATAGTTAATATTTCTGATAATTAATTTCCAATTAATGCCATATTTTTGTGTATATTTTTTACACTTTGATTTTTCATCGGTAAAAAAAATACAAAATTTTTCAAAGTTAGGCCTATACTGTTATTTCTTAAAAGAGTATCTTGATTAAAAAAGTTGTGATTTCATAATACATGTATGTTAATTTTTTTTATATATTAAATGTTCTGAAAAATTTGAAATTTTTCTCAGTAGACATCATCTATGTAGTCCATGTTTGCTAGGTACTGTACATACTTTAAAAATAAAAAGAAAATTGAATTAACACTTGACTATTAGTGACATTGATGACAAATTTCATTTTGTAATTTGTTTTTAATGAATATTAATCGATAAAGAAATCAAGTATAATTTCAACAACTGATTATTTTGATTATATTTTATAGTCTGTTGAATCATGCAAATTGGTTGGGCAATTAAAATTTGAATGCAAATTGGGAAAATCTTAAGCGGTAATGGATGTCAGGGCATATTTTTTAAATCATTAGCATTATTTGCTCTTCAAATTCTAATTAGTCATTGCAAATTCATTTCTGACTTTTAATGTTGATTTTATTGATTTATTTATTATGGTTATTCATTCAGTAGTTAACTTTAGCTTTTAACTTGAAATATGAATATTTATCTTGAATAGATTAATATGATTATTAAGTTTTCTTGATGGCAGATAATATAAAGATCAATTGTTCTCTCTATTGCTTATACTATTTCCAAAACAGGATCTGACAAAGAACACTTTGCATATATTAATTCATTGTTTTAACATAAAATGTATATAAATTGGTAATTATTTAGAACTTTCTATGAGAATCTGAAGACATTTAGTAGTATATATGTTTATGAAGAAGTGCAATGATTAATGTGTCTAAACAAATAATTTTTAAATTTCATTGCATATATTAACTATAATTTAATATTTATATTATGACATCATTGTATAATTGACACAGTTTTGATATCTACATTTCAATCAGAAATACAGAATTATACCCATGGAACAAAACTGAAAAAGAAACTTGCATAATGGAAATTGGTTAGCATTAATTTTGCCAAAATTATCTGAAAAAATCAAACATTTTATTAAAATAAATGTATTTTTAGCAAATATTATTATAACAGCCTCTAACAAAAAGTTTATAATTTTATAAAATATATCCTTTTCACACTTAAAGAATTTACACAATTGTGCAAAAAATTAACAAAGTATATTAATTGATAACTTGAATATCTGTGCTTATTTATTAAATATGTAGTAAATTATTTACTGATTTTATTCTTTCAAAATCAGGGAGATTTTACGAGGACGGGTGAAAGAAGATTTGCTGGAATGATGAAAGATGGATACACTTCCGCCAGTAGGTTAGTTCATGTTATAGTAAAATTGTAATTTGCTTTAATATATATATTAAAATGTAGAATATATGTAAAATTTTCATTTTTGTGTATGTGTTTGTGTATAAATATATATACATAAATGAAAATTTTACAAATTTCCCTTAGGTCCACTTATGACTCATTACATTTTTATGTATAACATAATATAGCTATATTATGTACTTAATTAATTATCATTACCTCTAACTTGTAATTTTCAAACCATGTCAATTTTTATGTAGAAAATTCAATTACAGAATTTTGCATACATTTTAGGACATAACACTGCCATGCAGCTTTTTATCCCTCTTAGCTTTGATTTCAATGAAATTTGTTTACAATTTACTTGTTACAGTTTCCATGTTATTAGAATATTGATGTTTAGAAGCAAAATAATTACAGTCGACCCCCGTATAAGATCATTGATTATTCCGTTTTATATGAATTCCATGTTGTACAAGTCACTTAAATTTTACAAATACGTGTACCGGGCTGTGAACGGCTCACGTATTTGTAAAATTTAAGTGACTCGTACAACATGGAATTCATATAAAACGGAATAATCAATGATCTTATACGGGGGTCGACTGTAATGCAGTGTGCCACCAAGAATTTGATAACTATTCTTACTGTCTTTTTTGAAATATATAACAAGAGGATTTAAGTATTTCAAGATAGGACATTTATGTACAGTACTTATGCAACATAAGAGTGAAGGATACTCAGAATCTTTTACATATGGCTATTGTCATTGAGAAGTTTTTAGAACCTTAGATATCTACAATTGTTTGAGAATAATAATATAATGTATAGAAAATATGACAGGCAAACAAATTTATTCTCTTTTAAAGTATAGAAGTTGAAAGAAGAATGGAAACAAATTTTTGTATTATAAAACTGGATCAGTTTTCTTCTGTTAAATTTATGTTAATATATTTTACATGATATTAGAAAATTAAGTTTTTTTGAAAAGGAGAAAATATTTAATTAAACTAAATTCTTTGTAAAGATGTAATGCTTGTTTAAGTAATTACCTTCAATATCTCACAAGCTATGATATCCATGTACTATTTTGACTCTAGACATTCCAAACTAATATTGAATAAATCTTATAAATCTGGATCTTAAAGAATTACCTGCCTGTTGCAATATTTGTATTACATTATCTTTAACTTAGATGTCAATACTGTAAGTCTACATTGGAAAACAAATATTCTCCTAATTGTGATCTACACCTCTACAGGAATCTAAACAACTGTTGACTTATTTAACATACCCAGCAAACTAAACTTTTTATGGGTTAGATAGATTATGATAAAAGGTTATAAGACAATTTTGAAATTAAAATGAATATTATTATTATTATAATGAAACCCTGTGCTGAATAAACTAACAGAAAAATTTCTATTAGATTTCTGATGGAATGGTCCAAATATACTTTTCTTGGTGTTTAAAACATGATACAACTAGTTTAGATTGTGCTCTTTTGGTTGATACTTTGCAGCATAATTCTTTTATGTATCATTTAACACTATATATGGCATATCATGCCCATATTTATTATTTTGTTAAAATATGAAAAGTGTCACACTAAATCTTATGTAGTTTTGTTTTAGTCTCAGAGAGGATAGAAAAGTTAACCTTAGTAAGCAAATATTTTAATTTTTTGTTAGTTACATCATGTAGATTTTTAAAAAATCTTGAAGACCTAAAGATCTCTCCTAATAAACCACAGTTTTGCATAGTAATTGCAGTCATGTGAAATGTACAACTGCATTCTTACCCCTAAACAGCTGTAATGTAGCCGTTTGGGTGTAAGCATTACAACTGCTTTAGTTTGAATAACTGGAAAATCACATTCTCTTGTCACAAACTTTTTCATTGGATAGTCACATAATAAAAAAAGATTAACTATTGGAAACTCATTCTACATACAAGTTCTTTGTTTCAACAAATCTGTATCTATCAATTGAAAAATCAATTTTCAATTGTAATTTGCTATACTGTCAACTTATTCACTGTAGAAAAAGCATTAATGTAGGTAGCCAATACACAATGGATGTATCGGCTTACACGGTACTGTCAAATCAACTAAACTAAATTTGCTCTATTGTCTACTGAACTCAGCCAAGATCTTGGAAAACTACTGATGCAAAAATTGCTATTCTGTTACTTTAAGAAATTTCTCTATCAGTTTTGAATCTAAAATTTATTATTTAAGTAATTATATTTGTTCTATTGTGCATATAATCTAAACTACTTGAAAAGAAGTTTTTTATTTTCAACTATTATGAATTACGTAGATTGCTCTTAACATTCTCTTCTCTAGAATTTTGTAAGCATTTTATTTTTAATTACTAGATTTGTTTAATAAGTTTAAAAATTAAATTTGTGAAGTAGAAAGTTTCCAAGAGTTTTCAACTAAATTATATTTGATTTTTGTTTTTTTAATGTGATTCTTATAAAAATAAGAAATATATGATTAAAAATCTTCAAGTAATATTTTGACATCTTTATTTAGTTATAGTTTAATTTATAAAACTAAACAGTCAAGTTAAATTGTAATATTTAGTATATAATAAATGTAAAATGCAAAAATTTCCATGACTTTACAACCAATTCTAGATTAATCTAAGTCAGGGATCACCAAAATTTTTTAACAGCGGGCCACGTAACAAAGAATGAGGAGCATGTGTTGCATAACGATTTTGTTCAAACAATATACCGAATATACAAAAATTAAAGACAACCAACATATTTATTTACCAATACACAAATATGATTGCTGCAGCATGCTCGTAATTGCTTTTCTTAGAAACTTCATTGCAGGTACTGATATCCAAAATGGTAAAAAGTTGCCAAATTTTTTTATTTCACTGACTTTTTTAAAAACTATATTACTGTCTAATGCAGAAATCAGATTGGACCAATTTTTACTTCCACTTATTTTAATTTTTTCTACATAGTAAGTATATCTACAATCTATAATATTTCTATACAAATATTTATATTTTAGCTAGTTTGTGGCACGGTGTAGTGGCTGGCCAAATAAACTGACCTCGCAGGTCGGATCTGGTCTGGAGACCATAGTTTGGTAACCCCTGATCTAAGTCATGGAAATTTTTGGCTTTCCAAATTTTTTATTAAAAGAAAATGTAACTGATTTTGATGCAAGAAAATAAAAAGAATTAAATTGGAAACTTAATGAATTTGCTTAAATTAATATCATATCGAATCAAACTATATTGAACTTAACTAAGAAATAATTCAGGACTCATTTAAAGTCATTTTCTCAATTTTTGTGTTTCTGTTAGAAAAATATAACAAAAAAATATTAAGTTGTTAGAGAAAAATATAATTTTTAAAATTACTTTTTTTTAAAATAGATATTACGTAAACCAATTTAAAGATGCCTATCGGCAGGCCACGATCGACCTGATGTTGGGAAATCCCCTGACGGAAGACATAACTGCAGTGACACCGGAGAGAGATGCCACCGACATCGAAGCCACAGAACAGGAACACCATGAGAGAGTGAAACAACTAATAGAAGACTGTAAGAAGATTCTCATTCCTGACACGGAAGTTGTTCTTGGTGGCTGGGCATTGATCGATGCAGATCCCATGTGAGCATTTGAAGCCATTACTTTTACGGTTTCTGTTTCCCCTAAATAAACGAGATGATTGTTTTCAGAACGGGCGATCCCGGTCAGCAAGACATGGACATAATATTAGTCTTGACAAAGATGTCATACTATGTTGCTGAGTAAGTTTTTATTTATAGAAATTTTACAATTTGTAATTTAGAAATTTATTAGTTTTAATGTTTTCGAAACATTGCACGTTTGAAATGTTCCATATCTGGACATGACAAATTTCAATCAATATTCTAAGACAGAAAATTCAGTAAAATTTCATATTAATTTTAATCATTAAAATTTTTTCTATTTAAAAAGACACAAATTTCCTTTTTGCACAAACTATAATTTAAAATTAGAATTAAGAATACACAATACTTAACATATATCTAAACATTAACTTATTTTTATTTAGATATGATGATCAAACTGACAGAATCATTAGATATCAAAGAGTTTTATTAGAAGATTTGGAAAGGATAGAACTGGGTAAGTTTATTTGCATTTAATTTTTTAAAGTAAAAATATGACACTCACTTATATAAAAGAATTTGCTGTGTTTTCTTCAATCTTTGGTATTGTGTTTTGTTACGAGTGGAAGTATGGATCATTGAGCATCAATGAAATCTCCCTCATGTTAGGATAAGCCTTGGTATGCTTCTTTATTGAAGAAGGGGAGGAGGCACATTTCTTAAGTGTTTTGAAGAAAATTAAATTTAAAAATTCTGAAATGACTTATGAGTCAATTTTAAGAACAATAGCTGGAACATCTACAGAAACAATCATTACCCTTGGTTTACTAACACATCAGATATTTCTATTCTCGACATCACTGACCAATGTACCAACATCCTCATCAACCATGCAAGAACCAATTCTCTGCTTACAAACCACTTCCATTACATTCACAATATCATCACCACCAACCAGTGTAAGTACTGTCCAAACAAAACTGACACAACTATACACTGCATCAACGAGTGTTCAAAATTTGACATCATCAGGGAAAGAATCATTTCCAGTTAATAGCCTAACAAAAAATCATCTCCACAAAATCAACAATTGCCTGAAATTAAATCCAACAGACATTTGCCTACAATCTTTAACAACTTTCTTTAATGAATACAAAAAAACCTACTACTACTTAAACAGTCAAACGTCACTTCAGATGTGTACTCTTCCCTCCTGTTATTTTATCTCTCAGTTCAGTTTAAGATTATTAATGATTGACAAACGGAAAATTCATCCACCAAAACATGACAGTGCTCACTCACAGATCAGACAACGGTAGTCGCATCTACAACATCAGATAACGACTCATCGGTATCCTCCAAAATATCACCAACTCCACGCCCTCCAATGTATACTCTATACTGCAATCTCTCCACATATGTACTGATACCTTAAAATGTAATTTCAAGACCTTTCCAGAACATTTTCCTACCAGAGATTGCCATCTATATTTCCAACCAACACCAATCAAAGACCTGGAAAAATGTCAACGGTGCGAAATAGCCAACGTAGTTAACACCTAACTATTCTGCCAGAGGATGGGAAAGCAAGCAAGCAATTTTGTAGTATCTTTTGTCAAAGACTGCATGTCTTGTTCACATTTGTGAGGTGTTGGTTTGCATCTCAATAAGTAAAGTTTTTTCATCAAATCAGTACAATTTCTAAATAAAATAATTGTAAATTACATGAGTTTATACATTTTGTTTATTTATTATCTATTAAAAGTATGCATTTTCTTTAAAAATGTTTTTGAAATTGCATCTGTAAAAATAAAGTTTTTTTTTCATTTGAGAAAGCAAGAATATTAAATCATAGAATAAATCCCAAAGTATCTATAATTATTAGTTATAACTAACACCAAATATCCTATTGAAAGATAATTGTTTATATCAAGAGCATATTCCCTTTTTGTACTTAATAAAACAAGCTGCTTCTTCTTTACCTTTGCCTTTTCCCACGTTTATATGGGGTCGGCATTTCCTTCTCTAATATGTTTCCTCCATTTCTTCCTATCAAGGATGTCTTCTCTCTTAAGTCCCTTCTGATATAAGTCTTCCTTCACCTTATCTTTCCAATGCAGCATTGGTCTTCCTCCTTCCTTTCACTACCAGCTTTCCGGCCCTTTTTCCAACATAATCTTCACTACTTCTCTTTACGTGGCCAAATCACCTCAACTTACATTCTTGCATCTTCATACTCAAGGGGACCCACCTTAATAGAACCTCTAACAAACTCGTTCCTTATTCTATCTTTCCTTGACACTCCACACCTCCATCTTTCTTTCTTGGGCTTTTGTGATTGTCCATGTCTCAGCCCCATACAACATTGCACGTCTAACAACCGATTTGTACAATTTACCTTTTAGTTTGCAGCTAACTTTCTTGTCACATAACACACCGCTCAACTTCCTCCAGTTCAATCAGTTAATAAAACAAGCAAATTTAAAGTCTGTTTTTAAACTGAAATAATTTATTTTTAATGAACAAAATGCACATTTTTAATAGAAAATAGAATCATGTAATATACACTTATGTAAAAATTGCATTGATCCAGAAAAATTTCACCAGTCAAGATGCAAACTTCACGGTTTTCTACAAATGGTTTCACAAAATTTACTCCCTAGTCACTCAAGATTTTTTAACTTTGATTTTCTCAAAAGCATTCAAGAAGTGTGCTATCTCCCTCCACCACTGGCTTCTATTATATTATTTTAGATGCTGTTTTTTGTGTTTTTGATTGCATTTTAATAGGGTATGCAATGAGAATGCACGTTAAGAAGGGATTTTTTTGGAATTCTCGCCAAGGAGGAGAGGGAGGTTAATGATTACCCCAAAGAACTAGGCTTCTACTATACTATTTTAGATGCCTTTTTTGCATTTATGCAGGATATCGAACATATTTTTAGACCCTTCTAAAAATTCTCAATGATATTTAGTGTTCCATCGTATATAAAGTTGACACTGGGAGCACATGCACGTAAGTTCACTTTATTCAAACTCTCATCTTAATGTTCGAATTTATATTTATGAATAATTCTGGAAGATCCAGCTTATTTTTCGAATTTAGTAAAACCTGAAGAACTCAAAGTTACGAAAATGTTTATTATTCATCACTTAGTGGTACTATGCACTGGTTAGTGGTTGCAGTGAGTCTTATTTATCATTATATCGGTGTGGTAAGCAGATATATAAAAATTCTCTAATTAGTCTTGGAAGAGGAGGGACCTAATTATTGCACTCGGTGCAAATGGGTAAGATTGGCTATAATGTTAATCTTTGCTATTGTTACTTTTTGTCCGAGCAACACTAGGCTTATCTGCTAGTTTTTAAAATTTTAAAATATTAAAAATGATTGTATATTATAAAATTTATAAATAATTTTACAACTAATATTCAAAAATGAAAGTGAGCTGGTAAACCAAATATATACTCATTGCCATAAAAATTAGTGCACCAAGAAGCTGTTGCTGGAATCCAACGAAACTGTACATACATGATAGTAACAATGATATAAGTAAGTGATTACAAAACGAAAGCAAAAGGATCATTTATTGCAAGAAAAACTACAAATGAAAGGAGGTTCTAGTACCCTATAGGACCACCTCTAGCACGAATACACAATGGGATATAGGTGGGCATGGGGTCCTAAAGTATCTTGATCTACAGTTGCAGCAAGCAGTCCTCTAGTTTGGTCAAATCCAACTTGGCATCCAGACATGTTTAATTCGTGACAAATTGAGACTGTGCAGGCCAAGGAAGTGTGGTCAAGTATTGTCCTGTTGAAAATTAGCTCTTGGGAGCCCTGTCATGAGAGACAATACAGACATGGCTTCAGGATGTCACTAACATACCACTGGGTTGTTATGGTCCTTTAGATCACTGCTAGAGGTGACCGGCTGTTGTATGTGATGGTACCCCAGACCATTGTACCAGCCATGGGGGCAGTGATTGAGGCATTCACCACGGAGCCTCCAGACACAAAACACGGCCATCATCAGTGCTCAAACTGAATCTGGATTCGTCACTGTAGATTACCCGGTTCCATCCCATCTGAACCAACACCATTCCAAACAGAGGTGACGGAAGGTGGCCGTCAATGGCACACATGTAATGGCCACTACAATACCAAATGTTCCTCATCTGGATGCCTCAAAATGGTACAGATAGACGGGTCCATAATGATGGCACTACCCGTGTCCGGATGGCAGACAACAATACAGTATGCGTGCTTGTCAGAGGACTGGCAGTCCTCTCAGTTAGCGGTCTGTCAAAGGCATGGAGGCTGGGAACCGTGTGTGCAACCGCTCTCCACTGGTCCAACACCTCCTTAGTGTTATCAGAATGGCCTAAGGGGAAGGCTATTTGGCAAAATGATCATCTGGTTTCTCTCAAACTCAGTTGTTAGTATGGTCTTCAGTTGCAACATAAAGTCGTCTCTAGTGATACAGCATATTTCTGTTAACAGGTAATGTACAGACAGGATGTCTGTGTGTGCCTTTGTGTGCTTTTTTTTATATAGTCCAAGGGGGTGCAGTTTAGATGGATCCCTCAGCTGGAATTACACAATGAGCCATCACGCTATAACTAATCATTTCCATATCTGCCTGAGACTTACCTGCATGCCAAGTTTCACAGCTATAGGACAACTTCTTGGTGCGCTAATTTTTATGGCAATGGGTGTACTATACTAGAGATGCCACGAATATTCGGCTACTATTCGGTATTCGGCCACTATTCGGTATTCGGCCTATTCGGCTACTTTTTTTAATATTCGGTATTCGGCCGAATAGTACGCAACATTCGGCCGAATGCCAAATCATGAAAAAAAAAACCGCACATATTACTCAAAAATGTATTTATTTTAATCAAAAATTATTACATTTAATACTTAAAATCTATCAGTGGTAAGTTGTAATGAATGAAAACAATTTTTTCAGCATTTGTTGGTTGCACTTTTCCTCATAAACTATACCTGCTTCTGAAAATAGCCTCTCACTATATACACTACTGCTGGGAGACGATAGATAAATCTTAGCGAATTCTGTCAGGCTTGGATACTGTTTTGCGTTTGCTGACCACCACTTGTAAAGGTCTGCCGTCCGATCTAGGCGAACAGTTTTCATATAAAGTGATACAGTGATATTTTTTAGTAATAATTAGTAACGCAATTTGATGTAACAATGCATGTTGTGACATGATCTACTCGCAAATAAAACAAATGTGCCCGCAGTGTCGCCACCGCACCCACCGTAATGTATCAGGTCGTAACATATCACCCGCGAAATGTACACATATTTTGCCGAACATTCGGCCGCCGAATATTCGGCGCTTCGGCCAAGAGCATAGCCGAATATTCGGTATTCGGCAAAATCACTATTCGTGGCATCACTATACTATACATTTAATAACGATCATGGATTATCATCACTATCACGAACAATTAGGTCTTAGGACTCGTTCCTATATAATTAGGAATACATAAGAAGGATACATTTGCTTACAAAAACTTCTAAATAATATACAGCAAGTCGTTCATAGGTTCTGGGAAACTGCCACGTTAAGCAAAACGACATAACAAAACCAGATTTATCATAGAATAATAGATAGGAGCAGTTATTTATTGTGACATCGGTACAATGCCGTGCTGCAATTTTTAATCATATATTTTAAATTTATTAAACTACAAATTTGAGATGGAGAGTGTATTTTTAGTGTCTTGCCCCTGTACATTATTGTTAACAACAAAGTCATGCTGTCATCTATGTAACTTCATTGGAGAGAAAATTTTTGAATTGAATTCATGTGATTTCCGGTCTGGACCGGAAGTTGGTATATAGTTAATCGGGGCTTCCTGCCCCTAAGCTTTCCATATTTAGTCTTGACTTTCGTCTATCTAACATCGTTCTCGAGATTAAGGAAAGGACAGACAACGACAGTGGGATTTAATAGGTCTAAAATATTTTTCAAATTGCAGCCCAATAAACAAGGTATAATTCGGTTATTAGTATTCTAATCGGAATGTATTTACAACCTCCAGCGTTTATTTCCCACCTCGTAAAATCAGTTTTATTGTTTATAAAGAAAATTCAAAATAATAATAGTAAATGAGGAGAAAAGAACAGTACTTGTATTATTGCCTGGGTGAGCGCAGTAAGCGAGCTCAGGCTTCTGAGGTGAATTGTGGTTTCGTTTCGGAATTTTAAAAAAATTCCCACGTTAGATTCTGATGATTTTGGTATCAAAATGCTCGGTGAAATCCTGGCACGTGTATAAAATAATTTCTGGAAAATATAATCAAAAAACGAAATCGACTTTTGCCTCATTGACGCTTAATAACAAAAAAGTATTTCGACATTTTTGGGTGCTGTGTTTGGAATATAAAGCCAGACAGCTGCTTCGTATTTTTGCCGAGTTTGGTGAATTTATGTTGAACTGTACTGTATGTATGGAGCACCATTTTGTTCACTCTCTTTGAAGCTTATTAAGTTCAGTTTCTTTTCTCGAAAATTTCTGAAATTTTGCAGGGAAGTTTGCGTATTATGAGCATTGATGCCGTTAAATTTTGGTGGTTAAAGATCGAATGGGGTCGGAGTTAATGACGATTTTACTCGTTATTAACATTTAGAATTCTTTTTATAAAAGTCATCTCTACTCTCAAAATAATTAATAATGAAATTTTTTGAATTGCAAGATAACGGTCGTGTTCTATTTTCTCACGTGTCGTCTTTTTTCCCTTGCTAGGACCAGAACCATCTTTATTCAAATCTAAACACAATTGTCTTCGCCTGCACTATTTAGTCAACAGTCAGTCGGGATACTTCCACATGTTTCGCTCTACCAACACCAGATTCTTCAACAACATGGCGGTGCCCATCCGCAGCGAAGAAGAAGCCGCAGGTCGGTGGAGAGACGGGTCTGAACCGCGTCCGGGAAGAGATTTCCGAGCGTTCGATAAACGTTTTTCGTTTTCTTTTTCAGAATCGTTAAAGGCCATATGCGAAGCGTTCAAAGTGGCTCTGGGCGTCAAATCCCTCAACGTTCCGTTCTTCGAGGGAAAGTTGGAAAGAAGGAAGAGCAAGATGCCGTTCGCCCAGGGCGGACTCAACTGCTCCAACAGTTACCGCGGCTCCAACAAGCACGCGCAGGGTCTGGTGCCCTTCCATCTGGAACTGCCGTCGTTCTCCGCCATGCCCCGAAACATCTCCGAGGGTCAGCTCAACGCCCTGAAGTCGGTGGGCACCCGGGCCCTCAACAACATGACTTCCCACTTTGCCAAACTCAACCCCATTCGTTCGGTCCGAGGATTGGGAAAGAGGACCAACGGCCTGACCACCGGACCATCCCTGGCCGCGGTCATGGAACCCACCGGATCACTGGTACGGTTTGCATGCGATTAGACTCTCTATAAAATCCGTTTTCCAATATTATATTTATTTTAACAGAGTTAAATTATTCTTGTAAATTTCCTTAAATTAAAATGAGCGAAAGTAATTGAGTTTTAGAGAAAACGGTCTTTGAAATGTATTGTTTGGTCAGTGGTCGAACAATGCATTAAGTAATTTTTTTAAATAGTATTTTTTAATGAAATTTTTTAGCCCATTTAAATTTTTAAGTGCAGAAGCCCGTCTTAGAAAATATATCCCTCTGTTTACAGTTGTATATCGTCTAGGCATACCTGTCGGAAGTAGCGCAGACAAAATAATGATAAAAAATTTTGATAAGTGGTAGTGCAGTCTCTATATTCTGTTACAGCAGCGTCCCCTCTTCCACGTGGAGAGTTCTTCGGACTCGGAAGACGATTCAATTCGAAGAAGAAAAAAACAGGGAAGCTCTACGTTCGTTTCTTACATCAACGACAGGACTTTGAGCTCGGATTATTCGGAATGCAGTGATCTGGACGAACCCGACTTGACCGTTTCCGAAAGTTTGGAGAGGGACGAAGAAAGTGGTTCTCAGGACACCCTGCTGGAGAGCTGTGGCATTCTGGCCACCAGCCCCAGTCTGAAATCCAGCAGCAGTATTTTGAGTGGTCTGGCTCTAGTGGACGATCGACATTCCGCATTGGACAACCGTCACTCGGAAGTGGACGTCGACGATTTCGTCTTGGATGCCATGAAGAAAGCCACTTTAAGGCAGCTAAGAAGGAAGACGTCGGAGGAAGCGTCCTTTCTGGCGGCGGAAGACGACGAGCGCTCCCACCCTTCCATGCCGGAAATCCACGTCAGTTCGGAAATGATTCCGTCACACAGCCGATCCGGCGAAGATATATCCATGTCGCTGGTCAGATCGGGACCCAATAGGAAACTCTCCAAGTCGTCCGAGGATCTGGATTCCGGCAAGTCGTCGGTCATTCCTTCCTCTTCGCACGAGGTCACCCACCTTCTGGTGCAGGAGGAAATGATTCTCGACACCGAGGGTATGTCTTCTAAGATGAAAACGTCGCACAGCGAAAGCGCTATCCAGGACTTTTCTCTTCCGTCGCTGAATTTACCCAATCCTCTCTCTTCTCCCATCATCATCAAGAAGGATCTAGTGTTATCTCCGTTGTCTCGTATCGCTAAAGGCGTCCAGAGCCTGGGCATGAACTTCAGACCCAACGTCAAGTTGCAACGTTCGCCCGAAACGGAAGAACACATACAGATGAGGGAAAAAAGGAAACAGTGTAAAAGTCATATTATCGAACTCTAAAACAAATCCTTTTTTCTTTCTCTAGTTTGAACACAAACTATATACTACATAATATACACACACACAATAATTACTCAAAAAACCAACAAAAACTTCAGTATTCTTAGTTTATGTAAATGTGTAGCATATACCAAAGATGTATATATAGTTTTATAACGGGGAAGACGTTTGTTTTTCGTCTATTGCCATTTCATAAATACACAATTTTATTTGCTTTGTAACGCATTAAAAAGTCACGGCAGCAGCAGCCCCCCGGGGAGACCGGAAACGATTCACTTTGGGTGACGGACGGGCCCGAGTGAAATTTTATTGTGTTCAAATTAGTTTAAGAAGTGTAAATGTTTATATATAAAGTATACATAAATATATATATATATATATACATATAATTTGGTAAGATAGTCACGTGAATTTGACGTATATGTACATGTGTTGTGATATATTTGTATTGGTATATGTGACGTGAAAGATGATTATTTATATTTATTCGTATCCGCTTGGGGAAGAGAAAAGTAAAAAAATATATTCTACATTTTAGATAACACTTGTTATATACATAAATACTATCTATATACAATATGTATAATGCCGATATAATATATAAAAAAACGTATATATTATGTATATATATACTCGCACATACACTACGTATACTTTGTTAACACGTTTCAAATGTTCCTTTAACTCTGTTACCGGAGGAAACGTCTACTTAAAAGTAATTCTCACTGCTGTGATAGTAACCTCACAACATAATGTTCTTGTTCGAGGCGCACTGTTTTTTTTGGTTGCTGTATTTTTGCCTGTTTGACTGCATTTAAGGATACGCTCACTTCAGCAAAGGTTTCCGAAAATATATATATAAATGTATATTAAATCAGCACGGGACGAATAACTTACATACAATCATTCAGAAAGTCAGCTAAAAATTCTAATTATATATAAAAAAAAGTAGTGCGATATCGAACGTACGTACATTCCACGATTATGCTCAACGGAAGCATAAGAATATCAAAGTGTTTGCATTGGAACATTTCGAGTGTAATGTTCCCGAAAAATAAAAGTTATACCTTCCATCTTTTCTGCCAGTTGTGGGTTTTTTTATTGTTAATGTTAAAAAAATGCAAATGGTTGCATTTTATTAAGGAAAGTCTTCGTTTCTTTACCAACTTTCCTCGTTAAAATTTATTTTAAAACACCCGAACCCAGAAACCATTTAATTTCCTGCGCAATTGGGAACAGTCAATTACTATTGCCAACGTTTATGTTAATTTTGCCACTCGTCCGATTATTTTATCGGATTTGTGCGTTAGTAGTTCGCGTAATACGTATATATTATTTATTATATATTATTAAATGTATGATATATAACATATACGTATTACGTATATATTATATATTTATGAAATGATCAATCCGAGACCCACCGGTGTCGAATAAATAAAAACCCGAACACTGGTAAGTTGGGGCCGACTAATCGACTGGCGCGTGGAGTTTTTCGGGTTTTTTCTCCAGTCTTAACTAAAGCTGGCGATTGGCCCCTATTTTAGATACACGAGTGTAGGTACCTCGAAACGACGATACATCAGCGAATGCACTAGGTCTGGTGTAGACTGGCGATTACGTTACGCAAGTTTCGCTCGCATAGTGTAAACAGCTCCACGAGGACGAGGACGTGCGAGCAAAACTCGAGTAACGTAATCGCGGCTTTAGGTAAAATAGTGTTCGTTATCTCCTCGGCAGACGATAACGAGGACCGTTTCACGCAACTCGGCGTTTAGCTAATTAGAAATGTTTAATGGGCGCGAATTTATCAATTTACTAGTGTCGATGATAATTTGCGTACGATACGAAGCCATCGTTCGAGTTACTAAAGGTTTAAAATCGTAATGCGTATAAAATAAGAATAAACCGAAAACTGGATATTTTGGTGGTGGCGCCCGTTACGAAGTTCGGTCGAGTGGAGACAGTTAAACGCGACTCCCCCCATCCTTAATGCCCATTAAACAATGCGAATCGGAACCGAAATCGCTAATTTTTACCAGCCAGAATCCGGTTAGAAGATGCGAACGCGATCCGTTACCTCTACCGAATAATCATTCGAGTTCGAACCTTAAAGCTCGGTGGGGTGCAGGCGAATTTGAATTAGGAGCCCCGAGGATAACGCGCCGTCCAATCTCCTCCGGTCGGCAATATGAAATGACCACTACGATTAAAGTTACTTATTACTTGTGGAATTTTTTTGTTCTAGCAAGAAAGATGTAGAAAAATAAAAATTCCCAAAGAACTATAATTATTAAAAATAAATATGGATATAAAATTTATATGCGGAATATAGGATTTTAAAAATACAGATGGAAAAAAAAATATTTGGATCGCTAACGCGTTTTACTAGTAAATATAATAGAAAAATTATTTACAGTTGCCAGAGATTAGTGAAAAGTTTCAGAAAGTCGCATCTTTTATCAATTATATAATTTTATTGGCAGAGAATTAAAAAACGCGATTAAACTTTAATGAAAAATTATTATACACGAAAATAAATTGATTAAAATATTTTTTTTTAAATGTGGTCGACGTTAATACCTAGAAATTAAAAAAGGCAAGATTTTTAAATAACAATTTCGAATTTAATTAATTAAGTATAGGAATTAACTTCAAATTTTATTACAAGTTTTAAAAAAGTGTCTCCGTTACGCACAAACGAAAATATAATTAATTTCTAAGATTTCTGTCACTAATTTATTTAGGATTAATGGTAATTAACAACAGTTCGGTAAGCAATCGGGACGAGTTTTGATTCTTTCCGTAGTAATGAATTGAATCTATTCATTCCGGTATCGTAAGTAAACCAAGTATTGTTTTCGTGCGGTGTTACGCGCGATGGCCACGTACTGCGTCTCCGTAATTTGAAAAAGAAAAAAAACTTGTTCGGAAAATAACGAATTTTTACTCTAAAATTCGCTTCGTTTGGAACCGAGTTTGGATTAATCAAACTCTGAGAACGAAATGCGTAGAACACGCAGAAATACGATTACATTACAACGTAAATAGAAATCGACTGAAAAATTGAAGAATGGATAGTACGAGGAAGACTCTTAGAGAAAAATAAATAGAATGCGTGTAGGAAAAGAAAATTATCACGCGCTCTCTTCCCCCCTTAGAACGTCCTCTTTTTGTCCCGATGGATATTTTATTAAATGCGCGATTTGAAGCCAGTGATTGAGGCATTCACCACGGAGCCTCCAGANTTTGTACAAAAGCCTTCAAAAACCATACTTATAATTACACTAGTGAAAAATCCAATTAGGAACATTTAGTTTACTAGTTATCAGTACTTTTCGCACAAAAAATGTGGGTGTAGTTATGATACCTTGTTTACAATTCACTAAAATGTAATTGGGGTTCCATAATACCACCTTCTCCTCTATGTATAAACTTAAGAAAATCATTCCTTAGATATTTTGATAAACTCATTTCTCGTGTGCATTATGGTAGACTAAACATTTAGAAATGTTGTCGGTGTAGATGCAGTATCTGTTTTTGAAAAGAAACGATGGTGCGGGACAAATGTTCGCACTGTGGGGCCAAAATGCGCATGCGAACTCGTTTACAGATGAGCATTTTTGCACCTTGTGCAGAACAGATATGCATGTTGATAAACAAAGCACGAATATATGCAGTGTTGGATAGAAAAATCAATAAAGGAGCCCCATTATCTGGAAGAATAGATGCAGATGTGAGAATTGGAGAATGTGTAAAAATTGATTAATTGAAAAAATTAAAAAAACTATCGGAGGTCGTTTTTGACATCAGAAACTAGCTTTAAATAACTTTACCGAAGTAAAATCCGTGCACTAGAACTTTAGAACGATGGATGAAATTTGATATCAAACTCCCATTAAAAAACATTAAAAAGCAATAAAGCGTGAATCGTGCGTCATTAAAGGTAAATTAAAATCGCGATAAAAATTTTTCGCGCGGGAAAATTATTTTGAAAAAATTTGGAGACTTAAAAAACATTCTAAAAATTAAAAAAAAAAACAAAATTTTTTTACGGGGACCAAACGCCCGAGTTTTATGTAACGCTATGTAACTTGCTCGATATATCTCGGGATTGGGGCTTAAGGAGTAAATTAATTAGTTTACGAGACCGTATATCCCCGGTCGCGTTATTTTACGATTCTCGGGATGATTAAGCGCTAATTAACTAGATTTAAACAAGAAATCGTGAAAATGAAGCGAATTTGCAAAAATTGGGGAAATTCTTTTCGGTTTCATCTCGAGAGTATAAACGAGCCAAAGTAGAAAAACTCAAAATGGTTTGTTTTCTCTGGATTATAAAATACAATCGATATATAGCAACCGTTCGAAAAGTAAATGCTAGCCAACGAACCGGCCAGAGTAGACGTGACGACGATCTTCCTACAAATATGGACCGATCTATTTTCGTCACGTAGTTAAATGTAGCGTTAGTAAAGAAAAGAGCGACTTTATTGTTAGTTGGACTAATATATAGAGAATAAATCCCGATTAATCTGGACGTTTTCTAAATTAATAATAGATTCGTACTTATGTCTGCTCGTTTATGTAGAAATTTTGCTCCGGTCGTTTTAAATATTAAGTGAAGAATTGGAAATAATTCCAAAAACAATAAATTCAACTGTCCAATAAATATTTTTATTAGATATTGATAAAGAAATTAGAAAACGAACGGTAAATTACTATTAAATTCAAATTATAAATGTATTTCTTATTTATAGACTAGATTATGGAGGTACAGTAGAGCATCGATTATCCGAACCCCGATTAAACGTCACATCGGTTAACCGACCGTTCTAGTCCGCAAATTCAAATGTCCGCTAGTGATGCGGCGCTACAATATTTGGCTATGTCTTGGCGACTTTAATAGTATTTTTACGTGTTTTAGCTGGCAACACTGGCTCGACCATGAAAGGGAGCCAGTATTTAAACGAGGCTTAATTCTCTAATTTTTAACGATACAATAGCGACGATTATTATTTAAAAAAAAAGTTTTGTTAGGCTTAACATCGATGAAAATTCAACGCAAGTAGGTTAATAGCGATACACTAATATACTAATTACACGAGATATACTAATATACTATACTAATAATGTATTTTTTTCATATTTTTCGGTTATCCGACCAACCCCAGTCCCCAATTGAGTCGGATAATCGATGCTCTACTGTATTTAAGATTCCGTCGAGTACGGCGGGAGAAAAGACATTTAAGGCGTAAATTACGGTCCAGTAAAAAAATAAACTATTAGTAGAGGAAAAGGTGGTATTATGGAACCCCAATTACATTATACTGAATTATAAACAAGGTATCGTAACTACACCTACGTTTTTTGTGCGAAAAGTATTGGTAACAATTAAACTAAATGTTCCTAATTGGATTTTTCGCTAGTGTAACTATAAGTATGGTTTTTGAAGGCTTCTGTACAAAAAGTCAAAAAGTAGGCTTAGGGAAAACCGACTTGTAATACGGAACCTTACTGTATGTTTTCAAAAAATGCTTTAATGTAGCCAAAAACAAATAGGAAAGTACGAAGAATGTTAAATAATTACAAAATTATTTATTCCAATGTATTTTATCGCAAAAATGATTTAATAATAATAATAAAGAAATGTACAAAGAAGAAGTTAATCATTTACGAAAATCACAAATATAATGCTCCTATAGTGTTAGGTATTTATTTTTACTTTTTTCCTTCATCTACCGCATACTTCTACAAAAGTTAGACGGGTTCCTTATTAAAAGCACCAATGGGGTCAGTATTTCACGCATCGCCATCTCGAATTAACTTACGTCTGTCCAGACCAAATTTTAAAAAATGTGAACATCGCACAGAATTAGTCTCTGGAACGGAATACGTGCACCGGCGAACCTTCAACTACACGGTTTATATTTTAGAAATAATTAAATTCACTTAGCATTCAAAACTTTCGAATTCCGAAAAACACAAATATGCTAATGGCCTAATGCACTACGGACAACCGTTTAACTGAAGCGAAACGGGTTTTTCCCTCGATATGGATGTCTGCCTAGTGCGATTCGGCCACAATCCGCTACAGTTCGCCTTTAATATCGGTTCGAAATGGATGGGTACTATAATACTTGCAGTGTTCCATAATACCACCTTCTCCCTTATTCTTACAGATTAAAAAAAGCTGTAAGAATACTAAAAGTCTAGAGCATCTCAAAATACAAATGGTTTAAAGCAGTGTTTCTCGTGGAAAAGTA